GTATACAGGTCTATCTGATACCAGAGTATACAGGTCTATCTGAGACCAGGTCATACAGGTCTATCTGAGACCAGGGTATAAAGGTCTATCTGAGACCAGGGTATACAGGTATATCTGAGACCAGGGAATACAGGTCTATCTGAGACCAGGGTATACAGGTCTTTCTGAGACCAGGGTATACAGGTCTGTCTGAGACCAGGGTATACAGGTCTATCTGAGACAAGGGTAAACAGGTCTTTCTGAGACCAGGGAATACAGGTCTATCTGAGACCAGGGTATACAGGCATATCTGAGACCAGGGTATACAGGTCTATCTGAGACCGGGGTATACAGGTATATCTGAGACCAGGGTATATACAGGTCTATCTGATACCAGAGTATACAGGTCTATCTGACACCAGAGTATACAGGTCTATCTGAGACCAGGTCATACAGGTCTATCTGAGACCAGGGTATAAAGGGCTATCTGAGACCAGGGGATACAGGTATATCTGAGACCAGGGTATACAGGTCTATCTGAGAACAGGGTAAACAGGTCTTTCTGAGACCAGGGAATACAGGTCTATCTGAGACCAGGGTATACAGGTCTATCTGAGACCAGGGTAAACAGGTCTTTCTGAGACCAGGGTATACAGGTCTATCTGATGCTGTTACATAGTAATTGGTCTCTATGCGCAGTGACACCAAGGGAAACAGGTCTACAACACATGGGTACTATTCTAAATTGGACATTAAACTTTTCCTAAAAAGCTCTCAAAATCACGATACAGAAATCTTTAAAAAAAAGCCTCGGGTACTCCAACTCCACTATTTATACAAGCATTTCCCTTCAACACAATAATGTTTTCCTTTAGAGTTGAGGAATACTATTATGACTGGGGTTCGGTTTTCGTTTTGTTGTGTTGCCGTTACTATGGACTACAATAGACCAGGAACTAGCCGTCATGTTCATTTTAAAAGAAAGGTCTTGCATTTTAATCACAACTTTATGAACTGTGTTTTATATAAAATGTTCATGTAGACCTGAACAAGAATCAGCTCGACTTAGGGGAAGTATTCACATTTACATGGTTTTTAAGAGGACTATATTTTTGGCCAGAAAACCTAACGTTTTCTACTGAGGGCGGGCAGACGCAAAAGCAGGATATCCCTCCAACTTTATAGTGGAGACATAGGTTTGGGTCATAACGTTCGTCTCGTTTCCGATGGTTGCCCTAGATCGCTAGACCTAACGTGTGGGCCATGTTAACGGACACTTTTCCCGGAAACATCTGTCGAGTTCCTTATCCGTGCCACTCTAATTCCTTTCCAAGAGCTCTATCTTTCTAAAGAGAAGATTTGAAAATAGTTCGTAGATATGATAATTTGTTTCCCCAAATGAATTGGAGGTATACATCATCTTCTTATACCGCTTTGTCTTCGTTACAAAGCTTGGCTTGGTCTCGGAGACTCCTTCTGTTCTTACGCAGTCTTTCCCCTTATCCCCCCCCCCCCCTCTCTAAGCTTCCTTCCCATAACTCTCGCTCCTACCCCATATAGCTGTCTGCGCTCATACTTTTCCAGCATTCACCCCTTTTCTACTTAAACGCTCCCTGTCACTTCCTTCCCCTCTGACACCCTCCACATATAATCCTCCCCTTCCTTTCGTAACATTTTCCCCTCAAACGCTCCCTCCCTTTTCTCTCGCCAGCCTTCTCTTCTTGCCCCTCCTCATCATTCCCTCCGCTTATTACTTAGGCCTTCCTATTTTACCCCTCTCCCCCATTCCTCCCTCCTCTTTTTTTGATCTTATCTTTTACACTTCCCCTTATTCCTTTCTCCCTTCCCTCCCCAACCTCCCGCTCTTACCCCTCCTAAACACTACTTCCTTCCCATTGGTCTTCCTTTTTACCCCTCTCCATCATTCATCCCTCTTCTGCCCCGTTTCACTCCTCCCTCCCCTTATTTTATTGGCCTTCCCTTTTGACCCCTCTCCATCATTCCTCCCTCCTCTGCCCCGTTTCACTCCTCCCTTCCCTTATTTTATTAGCCTTCCCTTTTTACCCCTTTCCCCCATTCCCCCCTTTCTTGTCCCTCCTCGTCTATCCTTCCCTTTATTTCTGTGGCCTTCCATTCTTTAACCCTCTTCCTCATTCCTCTCTCCAAATCCTC